GAGAAAAAAATACCTACAGTAATTGTTACTATTTTGCTAATATGTATTTGAATTAATAAAATAAGCTTCTTTAATTTCCCGTTTATACAAAAGTGGCTAATTCATTGGGAATGAAGAGGTGAATGAAGTAGGCTAGAAGTGAAAATATACGGATTCCGTACCCCTTATTTCCATGTCACGTGGTTCATTAAATAATTAATGAAGAGGCTCCAGAGCAGAAAGGCAACGCAGCCTATCCGTCAAGAATGGCTTCTCGCCGAGCTTAACTTGTGTGAGTTTGGGAGAAATTTCTTGGGGCTTTTCCCTCGCAAGAAGCTGTCCTCATTGCTGTGGACAATCAATCGGGAGAATGTAGGACCAAGCGCACAGCATAAGCACCATTCATTGTGAGTAAGCCTATATATTTCAGAAGCTTAGATATGCTATAGTTGCAACGATCTTATGTACAAAAACATGCTAAGGGCAATACTGAGATGCATATTTTTTCCATCGCACTGGGTTAAATTCATTATTCTTTCATTGTAATATCACTATAATTGTATGTATACACTACACTATTCAGTGACAGCTAAAATGACAACAAAACGTCCCTCAAACATTTGTTCACCGGACGAAAATACGGATTTAACGGTTTTGTCACTTCATTAAGTATATTTATTGTTATAAGAATATATCTATTTTATATCCATTAAGTAATTTCTTAAAGTAGTTTTTAGCTAAATGTTTCATATGGCTGTACAATTGCAACGGATACGCCCCTCACATATACAGTGCTCAGCATACATGAAGGAGTGAGTATAGATAATAACTTTTGGTGCATTTCAACAAAACTGTTTTAATAAAGTTTTATTCATTAAAACTATAGTGTTTGGTTAACATCTTTAGGAATAGAAAGACAATGCATTTAAATGTAAAATAATTATTGCAAAGAAAAAATACGAACTACAAAATATTTGTATATTTTTCCCTCAACATATAAATTTGGGTGGACAAATTTAGAATTTGGTACTGACTAAATTATATGCAATTATATTATTGTAAAGAATCCTGTAAAATATTCATTTATTAGGGGGTAGTTTATGTTAATCACTGTATATATAAATATAGTTGATCTAATTGATTTAATATATTGGTTAAGTAAGATACTGTTGTAGGCTGGGTTAAGCAATGGTAATATCAATAAAACGTTTAGGATTAGATTAAGGCACAAGATTGGTTAGACCGTCTATGACGAATCCACTGTTACAATGACATGAGCAAAGTAATGGAACACTGAGATCAACTTGAGAGATCAAAGGCCCCTGGACCTTTGGGGAATTGATCGCAGAACCATCCCAAGACAGCGGTACTCTCTCATCTTCAACATCACTAATTACAATATCATGCACGAATAATTCGAAACAGATGTCTCCTTTACAAACCTATACATACACTTAATTGTAAAAGTGCGATTTATTATTGGAGTACAGAAAATTGTATTGGTCCATTTCATAAAATGTTGTTTACAGTGTATAATTTACTTTACAGATAATAAAGACTTTCCTTATTATTTAAAATGTTCTTCACAATAGTAAATAAATTATTTATTTATTTAATAGATTATTTTAAATTCATCGCTGAGAAATCGCTTTATTTTAAAGTTAATCATATACGATTTTCAAACTTTTTTAAAATAATAATTTTAGTAATTCATCGTACATTGGCTACATTAATACAGAGAACATTCACCTTCAGTAGCATCTGCATCATTTTAAAACTTAAAAAGCCACGTTCTACAGAGCCACTTTTAATTCATTGCAGATAAAATAAATGCTTTGCTTTTATTTTGCTTATGTCACTGACCAGCCTGATCACTGACCTACAAGTACCATTATCAGCAGCTTGTTTAATTAAAATGGCATGCATCTCGTCATTCTCGGTCTGTGTTGTGTGTGGTAAACGTTCTTGATCGTTTGGTATGTACACCACGTCAATACTTCTTCACAGCTACATCCTGATCTTGCTTAATTTTTGTTTGTTTCGCAGTTCAATTTATATCGATTGCTAACTCCGAGAGACATCCTTCTTTGCCTCCATCAGCTTTTACATTCAAGACATGTAATCTTCTCAGAAGAGGAAGATTTCCTTTCAGCAGTGCGATACACGTTTTTAGAAAGAATTTGCTCAAAGTAGCGTGTTTGGTTTGGTTATGACATGCTCTTTTCTAAAATGTGTCTGGTTAGACTTGGGTGACATGCTTTAATTGCATCGCGGGGTTTGACAGGCTTCATCCTTTGAGCTTTATCGCTTAAAGGTAAGCATTTATTGCATTTTTGTCGTTATACATTTAGAGAGGACAGTATCTTATTTATATTCTATGTAATATTAATTTAGAACTCATATTTAATGACTAGAAGTAACTAGAAGTTTGGTGCGGAGCTGAAAACAACGAGAATACGGTTAAAACGGATATGCTATATTTGTTTTTTATTATTATATATTTTTATTATTACTAATTAAAGTGATTTAGACTGTGGATAAACGTAAAATGTTTATTAGCAAATGCCTCAGCGAATTGTGACCTAATTCAAGCTCTCTATGAAATCAAGATGGTGAAGAATAAGCTCACAGTTTGTGAATGGCGGAGGATCTGTCTATGTGATTAATCGCCCTAGTACTTTGGCTAAGGTTCAAGACGAGTTCATAGGGCTTTGTGTGTCCTTCTGTACCACTGCACACTCCCCTTGCCATTGTTTTTTCCAGCGAGCCTTTCTTCATTATTTGATTATGGTTTTATAGCCAGTCATGAATAAAACAAATACAGTATAAAGATTGACAAATTTATTAAATAGGTTTTTTTCTTTCAAAATAGCTACATATTCTTATTTTAAATGTTTTATTTAGAATTTTCATAATGAATGCAATAGTAATCGTTCATATATTTTTTTTAAAGTGGTTGTAAATAGAGATTTTGCTGTATACATTCAGAATAATTAATGCATTAGCACGAACTCTTGTTTTCTTATAGCAAAACACTTAGTGAATGAAAAATCGGAACCTGCTAAAAGCTGTAGTTATAGTAGGCTATTTATAGTAAAGCTAGATAGTGTTGACTATGTAACATTTAATGTGTACTAATAATAAACAAAAAAGCGATGAAAAGAAAAATATTTTCTAAGGTATCTTTAAAGACAATTTTCTCGGATAATTTAATATAACTTCTCACTTATATATTTGAGTTTGTGAGAAACTCACATTGCATGGCAAGGCGCCTTTAAAATAATTTACAATTATATCTAAATTATAGAAAGTGAAAGAAAAAATGTTAGAGTATTCATTTTTGTCAGCTGCAGTGATGTATTGTGGTATTTGATAAAAAGACATTAATATATTTTCCCTTTTAGCTGCGATGATAGATTCCTGTTCCCTGACTCACACCGTGTTTCTCTGACCCTGCAGGTCATCTTCCAGCGGGCCTCCGGAACCACACTGTCACATGACACAAGAGGCCAGAGTTTTGCTAAACCTCCAGAAAAGACTAACATGATATTGAAAGCCGTGCAGAAAATGCAGATAAGGAACACTATCGTCTGTCTCACTGCGTCGCGGAATTATTCGGAGAAGGTAGTTCTACATTTGAACTCAAAGAAAAAAATCCTCCCCAAAAATATTGAGTCAGCGACCGCCAAGGACCAAAATGCAAAGTGATATTTAATGCAGGACGACAAATAGAAAAACGAAGAAAAATGGCCACAAGATCTGAATCAAGACTTGCATTAACTTCTGCAAACTATACCAGAGATAATATCAGATCAACAGGTTTGCAATAGTTTGTAGTGCAAACTGTATACTGGATATATTATTGAATGACATAATTCAAGCAAATGCTACAAATAGGAGCGTGGCGTCTTTTGTGGTGAGTAAATATAAGCCAATTCAGAAATCCTAAATTTAGTAAGTTAGAATGCATACCTATTTGATGAAATATTACAATTTTGTCATAGTGTTAGATGGGCCTAACTATATACTATTGTATTCGCTTTTTATTAAAATGTTGATGCAAAGTTTATTTAAATGTAGAGTAAAAAATAACCTCATAACAGCACAGGAGCTACAAGAACCCTCCGGCTGGGATTGATTGACTCAAAAAAGCACATACTGCTGGAAACAACTTACCAAGCATTTGATGCTGTAAACTTAAAATCTGTTTTCGTAAGTATAAAAAGAGTCTCTCTTGGTCGGACCATCTCTGCAGCAAACCAAAACTTGCGCGAAACTTCAACAAAATGTATTAATGGCATCTACAATGCCTAAGGTGAAAGTCCTTCCGCACACATGGCTGGGCATGGTTATCTAGTCTAATGGGTCGCGTTTCTGTCTCTTCTGAACAACCTCGTTTCCACAAAACTGCAAATTCCCTAGAGCGTAACCCATAACAAAGCTACCCTTCAAATGACAAAAAGCCAATTTCACGTATTATTTGCGAAATTAATTTCAATCATAGAATATTAGGCTTTATTAATGCACTTACTTTATTAAATAATGTAACCTATTTTGGGTTAATAAATCAGTCAAATCACTGTGTAAAAAAATTAAATTGCCATTATAATGAGGTTTTAGTGTGCTACTTTATATTGCGTTTATTTTAGAAAGTTTTTTAGCTGCCCTAATAGAATTTAGCGTTTACTTTAGGATAAAATTACACGCTAAACCACTATCTGTCAAAGATAAAGAGAGAAAAAATTTGAAGATTATTAGGAACAAAACTTCCTAGCTCCATAAATATCTTACTTTAACGAAAGATTATAGACCATAGATTATGTTTTCTATGCTTAAAATAGATATGCCCATATCTTACTTTAAAAGTTAAAGACAAACTTTATTTGTGGGGGTCTACTAAGTCTAAGTAGGACTTCAGATTTCGAAACAATACAAGAAGATCAATATTAGGTAAAAAATACAAAGGCAAACTAATTCACGTCAGATGTTATTGCGCATCATGTATTTCAGCGGCCTATTAAATTTATAGCTCGCTAAACAAATACAGTTGTCCTCACCGTCACAGGTACACAATAGCTATAAATTATCTCTTGCTGTACTCGCTTTAATTCACATTAGACCTACATAGCGACTTTATCAGATTGACGGGTGGATTCGATTGATGTGTTTGTCATGTAAATACGAATCGTTTGATGGACACCTGCAACGCCCAGAGTGCTACCGCAGGTCGCACACTATTGGCGCAAAATTAGTCACATGATCTGTCACTTAACTGATATGAGCTCAGATACAACTTTGCGTGGTTTGACATACTGCTTAGAGGTTGTAGGGGCACTGGGACCACACATCAGCTCATATTGACCCTGCTTAATCAATTTTGCTTGGTCAGTCAACAATGAATTCTTACTTAGATTATACGATTTATAACCGTGGTTCTAACACTTATAGTTCGAAAGTTGGGTGTTTTCCTGTAGAGCAAGAATACTTGCCAAGTGCTTGTGCAAGTACAAATAGTTACATTCCCGAGGGACGGCCAGTCGGAGGAAACACTTTCACATCGGCACCGCACGAAACTCATGGCACATCTTACGCACAAATTCAATCGCAGCCCTTCCACCTCAACGTGGACATGGGTAAAACAGGACACAGCAATTTCTGCAAGCAAACCAGACCTCCTCATTCGGACTATGGACATCAACACGTTCTCACTCAAGCAGATGACCACATGCGCCTTCAGTCCCCTGGCTTTTCCGTCGTGAATATGGGAGCCAATATTGGAACTTACAGTGAATCAAACTGCAGGCCTGGCTCGGTCTCTGCAAGCCACTATCAATCATATGCATATGGAGAACCCGAACCACACGGCTATGGTTCGTTCAGCAAGTATCAGGTCTCCCCTGACAGTGACAGCGACTCCAAGACGAACATTAAACAAGCGCCAACCTTTGACTGGATGAAAGTCAAGAGGAATCCCCCTAAAACAGGTGAGTTATGACTAGTTACAATGGCTATAGATAATGTGATATTAAAATACAGTTTCTAAGTCGTGTTTTTATTCAATGCTAATTTTCAGTTAAAGTCGCCGAATACGGAATCCATGGCCAGCAGAACATAATACGCACCAATTTCACCACCAAGCAGCTCACGGAACTTGAGAAGGAGTTTCACTTCAACAAATACTTGACCAGAGCGCGCAGAGTGGAGGTGGCCGCCACACTCGAACTGAACGAAACGCAGGTTAAAATCTGGTTTCAGAATCGCAGAATGAAGCAGAAGAAGCGCGAGAAGGAAGGCACGGCCCCGGTGATTAAAAGAGTAACCCTTTGCTCTTCTGGTCAAAACGCAGACCACTCAACTAGCTCATCGCCTGGTGCTTCGCCTACCTCGGACTCTTCCACTGCAATTTGATGAGTGCCAGACTTTCGTTTCGTTGCTGGAGGACTATTTAACTTATTCTGTCGTAGAAAAAAATATTGTTTACGTGCTATTTGTGTTTTTGTGCTGCATTAGAACTACTAAATAGATGCATTAACAGGGTATATGCTTAACGTTCAAATGTTCTTTTTCTTGTTGTTGTCGTCCGGTCAATTATTTTGCACTACAGATTCATTCCTCTGTTGAAAGAGTAATAAAATGTGAAAAAGACTGACATGTTTATGTATTTCGAATATATTCGGACCTGTGACCTGATAAATAAATATTTTATTTTTCTGAAATCTGTTTGTGGATTTAATCCTGTTTATTGATCTTTTTTTAATTAAAAGGCTCTTCATGATGTTTGTAAGGTTGTGTCCTTTGTCAGAGGATGTTGCAATACAATGAAGCTAATTTAAATCAGTGTTACTCTAGTCTGTATAGTTTGACAAGAGGAATGTTGCATTACACACCGGGTGGCTTCCTATGACCTCTTCACCTTTTTGTGCCTTCAGGCTCTCTAAACATGTAAACACTCATTGGTGTTCAGTGTAACACTCACTGATTTGAGGATTCAATCCGGCACAGCATAATGATACTGCAAGTTAAGACATTATGAGACATTAAGACATTATGATATTTCTTAAGGCCACTTTCGTCTAAACTGTACATTTACACACAAATAACAATGTGCTGTTAATATACTTGGATTTTCTATTGATTTTGAATTGTGCATTGCATTCACTGTAAAAAAAGTTGACTCAACTCAAAATTTTATAGCAACAAACTTCAGGAAATTTTTGAGCAACTTTTAACCCAATTACTACACTTGACTCGATTTAAGTTGAGTAAACTCAAATGTCCTGAGGCTTGTTGCCTTAAAATTTAAAGTTGAGTAAACTTTTTTTTTTACAGTGAATGCAATCCAATGCGCAATTCAAAATCAACATTTTTTAGTTTACTCAACTTATATTGAGTGTAGTAATTAGGTTGAAAGCTGAAAAAGCTGAAAAATGTCCTGAAATTTGTTTCAATAAAATCTGAAGTTGTCAACTTAGTTTATTTTATTTTATTTTTTTACAATGTTTATAGTTAAACTATCAATAGTTAATTTTTCACCCACAGATTTGTTTAACACAGAAATATTTAGTGCAATGGACAACAAAAACAAAATGCCTATATTGGCATTTACATTTTACAATAAATATACATGCATATATTTAATTTGACGTCCTTTTTTCTTTTTTTAGAAAATCTGATTAAAAATGTAGGCAATCAGTTGAGCAATTAGAAGGGAAAAACTGTATCCCCAGATGCTATCTCTATTAGGCTCAATTCCTATAGAAAGTTTGCAAAGACTTGGACAACTCTGTTTCAATCTCCTGATCATCTGATGGACTGCTCCAATATTTACTCAGGGTGTTGGGTTTGCACAGTATTTGCCCCAGCAGCCATGCACTGTCAGCACCCTCTCCACTGACCAGGTTCACTTGGAGTTCAGGCCTAAATTAATCCACAAAAGCCATGGGCCTGTCCAGCAGGGGATGAGAAGGTTGTCTTCCCAAAGGTCAATCAGAGTGTATTCTATTTAAAAAATTAATTATCCACATGAACTAAAAAATCAAACAGTATATATACATATAAAGTAAAATCAAGTTTTATATAAATAAAATGATTTTTTAAGGTAACTGGCAATGGGAGTTGGATAGATGGTAAACTGAGAATCTGTCATTTAAAAAAGACGTCAAAGGAAATAAGAAAAGATAAAGGATTTATCTAGAAACTATTTCATTTACATATAGTGTGTACATTTTACAAAAAAATATAAAAATATGTATTTTTAGATTATTTTCTTTGTAATACATACTCCATTTAAGAAAAATATTTATAATTAATAAGTTTATGAGCTTAATTTTTTTGTGAAACATGTTGTACAACTAACTTATAGACAAAAACTGGTGGTAAAGATATAATGCTGATAAAAATATCTTGGCTTGTAATTGGCTAGTAAATTTCCCAATTTATTACCGAAAACAAACTAACAAACAAACAAACAACTAAAGCCCAACAGACCAAAGAAAAGATGTAATGGCCCCCACCAAAAAACAATGCTAAAACTACCATAAAAGAAAAGCATCCAAATCCAAAAGGAAACAAATCTAGATTCTAACATGTTTACTTCTACAGTTTTTAAGCATATAATGTTTGTTGCTTGCCCTTTTGGTTCATTTGGCTATGGGCTCCTACTGTGAGTCCCATCTGTGGGCATCAGTGGAGGAGCTCCAGTGCTGCAGAGACAGATGTTCAGCAGGAGGACGAGAAGGAGGAGGCTGTTTTTCACCAGCTTGTCAGCATTCAGAAACGACTCACACTGCAGAATGTGGGGCAAAATAAGCAGTGCACAGATACAGAGAATTAGAGGAAGATAAAAATAGCAGCCTCAAACAATAATATACATAGGAACAGGCTATGTGTGAAAAGATGAGAGAAAAATAGATGTGCGTGTGAGAAAGATGCAGTCAGCAGCAATGCAGTCATTAAAAAACTAATGGTTTTAATAACTCATCTCTATTAACTGATTTATTTTATCTTTACCCTGAGGACAGTAAATAATATTTGACTAGATATTTTTCAAGACACTTCTATACAGCTTAAAGCGACATTTTAAGGCTTAACTAGGTTAATAAGGTTAACTAGGGTTGGCAGGTTAGGGTAATTAGGCAAATTATTATATAACGATGGATTGTTCAGTAGACTACCGGAAAAAAATAGCTTAATGGGGCTAATAATTTTGATCTTAAATAGCTTTTTAAAAGATTAAAAACTGCTTTTATTCTAGCTGAAATATAACAAATAAGACTTTCTCCGGAAGAAAAAAGACATACTGTAAAAATTTCCTTGCACTGTTAAACATCATTTGAAAAATATTTTAAAAAGAAAAAAAATTAAAAGGGGGACTAATAATTTTGACTTCAACTATATATATATATATATATATATATATATATATATATATATATATATATATATATATATATATATATATATATTGGTCTCATCATTTTATGGAAGAATATTTGGACATTTAAAATACACTGTATAAATCTTGAGGCTTGTGATTTTCATAAAAAAATGATGTGGTCATTAAAAATAATGTGCATATTTTCTAAATTCTAAATAATTAAAAAATTGATATTCTGGATTTAATATAAAATATTGATAAGATTTCGCAAAATAACTAAGATTTAAATATAACTTTTTTAAGCAAACTAGTGCAATTATTAAGCTTAATTTCATAAAGCAATTAAGCCAAAAAATATTGAGGAAAAATGCCTTCACGTTTATTTTAAGGAAATTTACTCAATTATATGGATATGATTGAGATGTTTGCATTTGAATCTCCTTCTGCCAGCAAAATAATAATAAAAAAAAATTCAATCTTGATAATAATAGGAAATGCTTCTTGAGCGTCAATTCAACATATTAGAATTATTTCTAATGGAATTTATTGCCATCACATAAATAAAAAAACACTGTATAAAAACTAAGCAAAAATCATATTGACAAGTACACCGCCCTTTGCTGTCAGGTCACTTTTTAAAGGTGATGTTTTGGGTAGATCTGAGGCTTGCGATGTATAAACTCTCCCTGCTGGGTGTGCTTGTCACAGGGTCTTTTACAAATCAAATGCCTAGCTTGACTTCCTGAGTCTTGTTCAAGTCCCTCTGAAGCATGTCAGAGATAAAAAGAGTTCCGTATACACTATTCATGGGGTCAGGGGGTCATTTTATATGTCTTCTTGTCTTTCACAGACATACAGTCAACAGCTGAGACAGTGGCCACATGCAGATGGGCCTCCTCCTCTAGCTGAAAACAGGAAGAGCAGAGCCGTTTAACCATCCCCCTCACACTCAGTCATATCTATGTATGGCAAGCAATCATCAACTTAAATCTATTAAATATATTTCATGCAACAATTATATTTTTATATATATTGTTCATTAAGGTTTAGATATTACAAAGTAGAACATATTAGTCATGTTTCCATTCTAACATGAGGGTAAAGCTTAAGAGAACTTTTTTCATTTTCAAATGTGAATTAGGATGCATTTCCATCATGTTTGAGTGGCTGAAGGTGATACTGGTAACCAAGTAATGAACAGTAAATATAAAACAAGGGAACTATAATGGAGACAGGATTGCAATTAATAATGATTGGGCAAGATATAAATATCAGCAGAACAGCTAGCAATTGCAGAAGACTAAATTCAGATTTTATGATGAACACCCTTGCAACTCAATCATTTCAGAATGTCAAAGGGCATATTTGAAAAGAAAAAAATAGTATCCCAACCGAAATTTAAAACAGCATCTTTGGAGATCTTTTTCTGCTTGTGATTCTGTTATCCAAAAAAACAAATAAAAAATGTAAATAAAAAATCTTACACATACCTTGGGAACGGTATTACAGAACATTTTGGCGGTTTTAAAACCTTGACTTTTACAAACCGCGGTATTTCTTGAAAACGATTATCGTCCCATGCCTAATAAAAAAATGTAGCTATTCATTTGATTGTACTAATTTATTAGATATTAGATACTATACTTTAATGGCTGTTAAATATCCTATTGTTATTGGCAACAATTTTAACATTTTTGCCAATAAATATTATGGAGATCTGTCACTGACATCAACTATTCAGTATCGACTAACACGCATTTTAATTGTGACTGGAAAATAATTAAAGAGCCCCTATTATGTTTTTTTTTTTAATGACCTTTCATGCACTGTGTAACAGCACTAAGTGAATGAAAACATCCAGCTGAGGTTTAAATCTGAAAGTGCACCGTGTTTTAAACTATTGATTCTTTAACAAAACAGTCGACTTAGAGTCGAATAAATGAATTGTGTTGGGTTCGGATCTTTAATTCGTCAAAGTTGATACAGTACATCACCATATTTGTAAAATATTAAAATGTGAACGCACCTTTTCCTTTAGACATTAGCGGAGTGTGGGGTATCATGGAACTGATCATGGCCTGAAGATGACGATAACTGACAGATGGAGGTTCGGCTGCAGGGAATAAAAGGTTAAAGTTCAAATTCACAACAACACCACAGTATAGCCAACTTTGTGCTGTGTTTGTTCCTGTCAATTTTCAGTTTTTTAATAACCTGTACTGCAATGCGGGATTCGTCAGTCGTTTGCTATTAAAGGAAAGAGCAGGAGAGACTATTTATGTATAGGACTTTGTTAGACTTTGACAGGGACGTTTTCAGTAACTGTTACATTTCATATGG